GTGTGTGTGTGTGTTTGCGTGTGAGTACGTTTGTGGGTGTACATGTGTGTATGTAATTGTTGTTTGTTTGTTTATTTTAGTAGAGGTTTTACGGCGCTCGCAACTGCATAAGGTCATATGAGCGCCAAAAGATTAGAGGCGCTACAAGAGAGTAACAAACATAAAAAAGAAGAAGGGGAGATAAGGACAATAGATGTTTGACAGGAAAGAAGGAGCAGACCACACCGATGCACCCGCCAACCACCCACGTAATTGTTGTGTTTGCGTATATATATATGTGTGTGTGTGTGTGTGTGTGTGTGTGTGTGTGTGTGTGAGTGTGTGTGAGTGCGCATGCGTGCGTGCCTGTGTGCGTACGTGAGTGCGCGTGCGTGTATATGTGTGCGTGCGTACGCGAGTGCGCACGTGTGCGTGTGCGTGTGCGTGTGTGTGCATACGCACGAGTGCACGTGATACCAGACTATAATATCTTTGGTGACATTTAAAAATGGTGTTCATTTTCTTCCACAGGATAGATCAGTTTATTACTTCCTGGATGACTGTGGTCCTGGTACCTATTGGAGAATTTACTGTAAACAACACTATGACCTAGACGCTGAATAACACACAAAAGGTAAGGGGTTTGGTTAGTTTTAGTAAAAGTTTTATGGCACCTGCAACACAATAAGGTCATATAAGTGACGAAGATTAGAGGTGTTACAAGGGAGTAAGAAGCACAGAAAATGAGGAGAGATGAGGACGGCAGAATGTTTATAAGAAAGAAGGAGCGAACTATAACAGAGCTCCAACAAACCACCCACATGGGATTTGTGAGCAGCTGGTATTTAATGTTGTATAAATTATAAATAAATGTACTCCTCGGCGTTATATTGGACAAAAGACTCACATTCATACCACACATCAAAGACCTTTGTGTGAGGTGCCAGAAAGCGTTAAACCCTTTGAAAATTCTATCCTATCCGGAATGGGGCGGGGACTCAAAACACCTTATCCACTTAAACATCTCCTTCTTTCGATCCAGGCTTGACTACGGCTGTCAAGTCTATGGATCGGCAAAACCGCATATCCTAAAAATGCTAGACCCCGTGCAAAACCAAGGACTCCGCCTCGCTCTAGGGGCTTTCCGCACTTCTCCGGTGGAGAGCCTCTAGGCCGAGGCAAACATACCATCACTCACACCCAAACGCACACAACTCTCACTACAATACGCAATTAAACTGAGCTCATCACTAGAGAACCCAGCACACGACTGCGTTTTCGAAACAAACCCAGACACCTTAAACAAATTCCAAAACAACGAAAACCTCATCAAACCCTTCGGCCTCAGAGTACTTGAGGACCTCAAAAACATACACTTTTCCAAACAAGACATCCAACAATTTCTCAGTGGCGGTGGGTAGTGAAGGGCTCACGGGCTTGAGCCCCCCTCCCCACCCCCAAACTCTATCCCAAAGCAAATGAAAATAACTGAATAAACAGTAGAAACCGTTATGATCGCACGCAAAGAACACAGAGTAATTAGCTTGGCGGCTTGCTCGTGTATCCAATCACTGTTGCCACCGCTTACAACTATAGTAACCTAACAGCCAATCAAATGTCTTTACGGCTTAGCAAAGATGAGCCGGTTCCCACGGACCCTCGTTAATGAAACTCTTCTTGTAAAAAGGTAGAAGACTTGAACAAAATAACACTGCACAGAGGGCTCACGCTGTGCTAGCCCTGACAATGGGGTGAAAGTTTACGACACACTTTCCCCCAATGACAGTTACCTAAGCTCCCATTGGACCTTTGATAGGTGCTGTCTACTTTCCTCGACTACACGGCCTAATCCGGCTCTTGGAGTGCTGTGTATGCATGTTTGTGTGTGTGCTGCTGAGATTTAACAGTTATTAATTGCATCAAACCACTTTTGAGGCAACATTTTCATCTGATGAAAATTAGTTAGAGAAGTTTGGAGGTGAAGCGGTTTCATCCCCAGCATCCAGAAGAATTTAACGTAGAACAAAGAGAAGGAAGACAAAGGTGACTCTTCTCGTTTGAATAGTTCTAAAAATGCCGTGGCTCGCCGTGAGTATGGAAAAAATCACCACTGTTTTGTTCTTATTGCTTGCTATTTGGTGGTTAAAAAGTGAAAGCAACCTAAGGCCCACCCAAATTTTGGTCCATCCACCGCCACTGCAATTTCTTTTCCCCGACCTCCCTCCGTGGCGCCTCACCAAGGCAAAAGTAGACTTACAGCTGACCGCACACACCAAAGCAAGCACAAACACCAAAACATTTAAAGCAGAATACAAAAAGCTTATAGAAAAACTCCCCGGTGCGGAGTTTATCTTCACAGATGGCTCCAAATCGGACTCTGGTGTGGGCGCCGCAGCCCTATCTTCAAACAGTACACACCAAAGGAAACTTCACCCCGAAGCCTCCATTTTCTCTGCGGAGGCCTCTGCCGTTGACATGGCACTGGACTCCGTAGAAATTCTCCTAACAAATCTTTCCGTATCCTATCTGATTCTCAGTCTTGCATAATCTCACTGACAAACTTCACACTTTTACACACAAACAGTTAGATTACAACAACAAAAAATACACGCTTTAGCTGAAACCGGGAAAAACATCATGTTCGCATGGCTACCTAGCCATGTGGGCATCCGGGGAAACGAGCCGGCAGATCACCTGGCGAAGGAATCCTTATCCCTTCAGTTAGGATCAACGACAAACACTCTCCCACAGACTGACATTAAAAATAAAGTAAAAAACTACACCTCCAGTCTGTGGGAGACCCATTGAAAAAAAACAAACAAACAATAAACTTAACAACATTAAGCCCAAACTGGGACCGCGAAATCCTTCGGGTCTCTCCAGAAGAGACGAAGTCATTTTTACTCGATTAAGCATCGGACACACGACCCTAACACATAAATACCTCCTTCTGGGAGATGAGAAGCCGTTCTATGTCGGATGCGACACAGATTTTACCAGAATGTCTAGACTTCGGAGAGCCCGAAGGAAATAGTTTAGATGTAAAAAATTGAAAGATTTGTTTTCCGTCGTTGATCCCAAAAGAATTCTGGATTTTATGAAGGCCATTGGCCTTTATGGGGAGTTGTAAAAGAAATAAAATTGTTAAAAATGTTTTTGTTATTTTAAAAAGTTATTTCAAATTCAACAAGTATTTACACCACATTTTAATAGTTTAGCATTTTAGTGAACGTGTTGACCCAAACCGGACAGTGAAATATGCTGTTGCGAACCGAACCAACTTTTTTTCACGCGCTCATATGACCTTATGCAGTTGCGAGGGCAGTACAACTCTTACTAAAGCAAACAAACAAAATATACATCTGTCCCAGCCCCCATCC